AGAAGGCTATGAGTAGAAAATACCTACTTTGGAGCTGGAGTGATGGCTCAGTGGTTAAGAACATTGCTGCTTTTCCAGAGGACCTGGGTTCAATTCTCAGAATCCATGTGGCAGCTTACAACCGTCTGTAGCTCCAGTTCCAGGGGATCTGATCTGACGCTCTCACACAGGCATGCACGCAGGCAAAACATCAATCAATTCTCATAAAATTAAAATAAATAATTTTTTAAAAGGATTAAAATGTCTACTTTAAGGATATCCTATATCAAGAATTTGTAGACTAGTAGATATGTATCAGATGGCAGTGGGAAATCAAGGACCCAGGACTGGAAAATGTTTATAGACTATAGACAGCTAGAAGGTTATCAGAATAAGACAGACAGATTGTGTGAGCTTTACATGAATGGATTTGGGGAGTAAGAAGCATACATATTTAACAGGTATACAATATATAAATGATTCACTAAGAATTGTCATATATGCATTAAATGTAAAAATCCTAATGCTTTCTTCAATCAATTTTAGAATTGGTGATATTTGTAATTCCATTTCCCAAGAATGAAAAGGGCATATGCAAACTCTCACTGGACATCTCTGGAGTTAAACACGGTTCTAGGAACTAGACCTTATTATCTCAGCCAAGGATAGCCACTACACAGGTCCCAGGTGTGATAATGATTTCTTCATTGTAGCATTTTTTCTGACTGGACCTAGATAGATATGTACTTGATTCACTAGTAAGAGCTCCTAAAATGGTATGTGTCTATAAATTTCCCTGGTCAAAGTCCATTAGGAGACAGTTTTAAGCATTTTTGTATATTTTTTGGGTGTAAAATATCTTCAACGGTAAAACAGGCAAAGTATGAGTACAGAACAGTAAAATTCTAAGCATTCTATTTCAAATGGAATAAAAACAGACATTTGGACCCATTTTACCAAATTTGTGAAAGAAGAAGAAAAATCAAGACCATTTAAATCATGAGTTCTTTATTTAGTAAACATTTATCTATCTATGGTAAACATGAAGGGTGTCTAAAAAATCCTCTGCAGCATATGCCAGAATTGGAGTGTTGGAAATTGTCACGGATTCTGCCATTTTTTTCATAAATTTCTTACTTTGCCATTTTCATCAAGTCTTCCTTGTCCTCCTCATTCCTATTCTCTGTTCACTAGACTCACCTTCTCTAATAATCCTGTTTGTTACTGTCAGGCCTCTGTCTAATATCCTCTTAGCACTGGAAATACGATCTACAAAGTTTGTAGAAATCTGGAGAAAATTCTTCTCAATGTGTATTCTCTCTCTGTGTGTGTGTCTCTCTCTCTGTGTCTCTCTCTGTGTCTCTGTCTCTGTCTCTGTCTCTGTCTCTCTCTCTCTCTCTCTCTCTCTCTCTCTCTCTCTCTCTCTCTCTCTCTCTCTCTCTCTCTCCCCACATACTTCTGTGCAAACTCTTCCCTTCCCCTAGAAAACCCAACACCACCACTCCACTCTCACCGCCTGAAACATTTAACCTCAGAGACAGGCTTCTAAAACCAACTGAATTTTCCAAGTCCACTTCAGTTTTCCAAAATGCTGTCCAGACTAATGAGCGCAATGCACTCTCTCATCTATGACCAACCATGCCATCCATCCACATTATACTCTTAGTTATACATCCTCTCTATTGTGGGAGACTGTGGGAGTCCAGCTCCTACCTTTCCCACCCTTTCTAGGGTTCTTAGGAGGAGGAGAGAGGGATAAGAAACTGTCAGATAGAAAGAGAGAAAACCTAATTGACCAGAAGAAAGACAGAAACACAGGATAACTTCAGGAGGACCTGGATCACTACCCAACAGCCTCGAAGGTTTATTCAAAAAGCTTTTTATAACATGTCAAGGGGAGCAGCAAGAGACCTCCCCCTGGCAACATCAAAGCACACCGTACAGCCAAGTGTAGACCCTTCCAAACACCTGGTAAACATACCCCTGGCCAAATCATCTCCTTATGCAGCCCTGCTGGGTAAAGCATGCTCAGATTCTCTGACCCTGAGTAACTTGGGCCTCCATACTCTATAAATCATGGCTCCATAGGGCAGCTTCCTCTGCCGTGTGTTCTTATCATGATGAACTGTTTCACTGCAGACCCAAAAGCCAACTGATCCTGCACTAAGCTGACCAAAGTGACTACAACAGCCATCTTGTGACCATGGGGAAAAGCAGGAATTTCAAATGTCCTTGCAACCCCTGATTAATACCAGCAACTGCTTACAGTTGTTACTTCTCAGTCCATTAGGAAAATAAATCTTTTATGGGAAGATTCTAACAAACAAGCTGATACTCATTTGCAAGGAGTATGATCATGAGTCAGTCATTTCTCCAAGTATCAATTTCTTCAGCTATAATTTTGAGTTCACCACCTATACTTGTTTAAGATTAGGTGGAATTCATTCCAAATGCCCAGTACAGAATGAGCAGTGACAAATATTAGTCATTGTATGTTGTCAGCTGCCATCCTCTGGCAGTTTTTGATCATATATTGAGAGCTCAACCAGTCAGTAGGCTCTTAAAGGCATATTATACTACATTACATATACCTTTACAGAAAGTACAGCTTAAAAGGTGGTATTTCTGGAGCTGGAGAGATGGCTCAGTGGTTAAAGTAATTGCTGCACTTCCAGAAGATGCAAGTTCAGTTCCCAGTACACACTCACAACCACCTGTAACTCCAGCTCCAGGGGATATGATGCCCTCTTTGGGCCTCCATAGACACACACATCTTTCTTTTCAATGAGACAACAATTCCTATACAGAGAGGCTAAGACAATAATTACAGTAAACTGGTGCACAAATCAGCACTACAAAACATTACCTTCACTACACATGTACAGACGAATACCCAGCAATGGGCCAGTTGCTATTTAGAGGATCATAATGATTTGCAGGTTGAAGCAGGAGTATTTCACTGCAGAAACCAAACTTACCTAATAAAACACAGAAGCTGTGTATGAATTGATGCCCTTGCAGTTGCCAGAGGATTGTCCTCACCAGCTAGCTGTCTCATGGAAAGGATCACCCATATGATTTGTCATACTAGAGGAGCTATCATAACTGATCTTTAAAGAGGAAGCACTTTTATGGGTTGCTATATATGATTACAGTATATCTAGATAATCTTTATGTTTCTGTGATGAATTCCTGGTTACTGTTTTCCTAAAGATTGCAAGTTTTACAAACGAGCCCTTAGTTTAACAGTAAGGCAGACAATGACCCGAAAGGTGAGGCTTTGAGCAAAAAACTGTGGGTTTCTCCTAGTTGTGTTGTTATGCAAACTTCCGCAAAGCAGGGGGCATAAAGTTTGACAACATGTTCATAGATAGACCCTTTGTTCATGCGATCCAAAACCAATTTAAGAAAACATTGTTTATAAATCCTACAAAACAAACAAGAATGCATTGTAATCGTGCAAACGCTCTATTTTATTCATAGGTGAACCCAGAACACAGGGCCATTCAAGGGTCTATGTTTAAAGAGGGAAGGGCGTGGAGCAATTTACCAACTAAACAGATCTGCCAAGTAAAGACATGGTGCTTTGAAATCAGATGAAATTTCAGCAAGCAAAAGAATTCCATTCATTCAGTCAGAAAACACACAATAGTAAATCAAATACAGAAAATACACAATAGTAAATCAAAGAAAAAATACTTGTTCTTGGTGCTAGAGAGATGGCTCAGTAGTTATGAGTGCTGGCTGTTCTTCCAGAGGACCAGAGTTCCCATCACAACTTCCACACAGAATCTCTAGGGGATCTGAAGCTCTTTTCTGGCCTTTGAGGGCACCTATACATACTGCGGCATACCATCCCAACACACACACACCTACACATAACATAAGCAAAATTTAAAGGAAGTTTTGCAAAACACAAAATGCTATTTTGTTGTGGAGAAAAAATGTAGTTTGGGGAAGTGGGGAATCTCATACTGGGGGTGAAAGAATACCTTTGTTGAGGAAGTAGCATTGTAAGATATGAAGAGCCAGGCCTTTGGTCCCAGAACTAGAGGCAGAGGCAGGGACCTGTGATTTCAAGGATGATCCTGGTCTACATAGTGAGACCCTGTCTCAGAAAAACAAAACAAAAAGATATAAAAAGTGAAACTTCGGCCGGGCGGTGGTGGCGCACGCCTTTAATCCCAGCACTCGGGAGGCAGAGCCAGGCGGATCTCTGTGAGTTCGAGGCCAGCCTGGGCTACCAAGTGAGTTCCAGGAAAAGGCGCAAAGCTACACAGAGAAACCCTGTCTCGAAAAACCAAAAAAAAAAAAAAAAAAAAAAGTGAAACTTCCTCAGTGTGTAGGAAAGAGGCTTTCAAAACAAAGGAGACACAGAGCTCAAAAGGTCTAAAGCAGGGGCTAAATGTAATGCAGGTAACCTAGAAGGGAAAACAGGCTGAAATGTCTCACGTCCTCTTTACCCTTTACCAGCTGAGTAACCTTTAGGCCGGCTTGATTGCTCTTCCATGCCTTTCTATAAGCTGAGGGTAAACAGAGCTACTCTGTTATTTCAGAGAATAAAATGACGCTTAAGGGCCCACTTTCCCAGAGGCAGAGAGTGCCCTGGAGACTAAACAACACAAGGCTGTGAGCTTGCTACACCGTTCTATGTGGGACCTCAAAGCATCCTGAGGATGCTCTGCTCTGATGAACCGTTCCGACAGACCCCGACTTCTACACACACTGCTGGAACGTTCCAAGGTCCCAGGGAACCACCTGCACTCCCCGACGACTTTTAAACAGAGATCCCACTTTTTAAAAGCCTGAGCTATCACCAGATGGTCCTCCAGGTCCCCAAGGCCCCTCAGGCGGCCGTCCACAGTCCCAGCCTCACTGAGGAACAGAGACAAGCCCGCCTCGCATTCAGGACTCCGGCTGACGTCAGGAGCGTACAGTGCGCAAAGATGGCTGCCTGGCCACGCCCAGGTCCTGCGCAGGCGTAGTTCGCGGCGCGTTCCCGGAAGAGCTCGGAGGTGGGCGCCGTGTGGCCGCGGCCGCTGGCCCCCGAGGCCGGTGGGCCGAGCCGGAGGAGCTCTTAAGGGCCGAGCCCGGTGATGAGGAAGGTTCTCAAGAGGTTTCCGGGGAGAGAGGCGGGGCTGGGGGGCCGTGGCTTCGCTTCGAAAGGCAGACTTGCCCCTGTCGTGCGGCGAAGGAGCGGAGTTAGCAGGGGTTAGCAGGGCGCCAGGACGCTGCCTGGGGGGCTTCAGACCCCGCGGGGACCGAGGCGGGCGCGCTGCGGGCCGCCCGGGAGCGCTGCGGAAGGCAGTGTGCGGGCCGGGGCTCAGGCGTCCCGTCAGCGCACCGAGGCGGTGCAGGGAATGAGTGTCTCATTTCAGAAAGTTGAGGGAAGCCTCCTTCAAGGGACGTCGTCTTTGTGGTAGTTTTTCTCCTTTAGGTGGGGCACCGTTAGCTTTTGTGCTTTTCAGCCCCGCGCTTTCAGAGCACCTGTAGACCGCCATCTATACTAGTGCAAGGTGTCTAGCCAAGGTGTACGCGCCCCTGGTGTAAAGTGTGGCATAGAAGGGTTTTTCTGAATGAGAGTTCTGACCTGCTAGGAGACAGTGAAAGTACCACTTGAAAAACCACTTCCCTGGTTCGGAAGGGTGATGGTGAAACGGGCGGCCTTCCAGTGAAGGAAAGACCATGAGTTTCCAGTTGGTTCTCATACTTGGTTGCCGTTCTGTCACTGTGTCTGTGCACACGCATAAAGGACGGTATTCCTGTTTTGAAGTTTTAGATAGTCTTTTTTTCTGTCTGTTAAAATTACACTTAGTACCAACTGCTTGTTTAAATTCTGTTTAAGGTTAGAGCTTGGGTGGAGATACAAAATATCAGGTGTTGAGTTTACCTGACCCATAGTATTTTGAGTGAATCTGGTAAATGCAAAAAACAAAACACAAGATCATTAATACAAGTGGGTTTGAGTGCATTCTTTCACACTACACATGAAACTGTCAGTTTTCTCTTCTGAGAGAATCAGTGGGTTGTTGCAGTACTAAAATGATCAAATCGCATAGCTGAACACATGGGAAAAATAACTTTTTATTATTTAGCAGAAAACTTATAGCCCAGCTTTGATTAAAGATGACTTCCTTGTTCACTCAAGAAGTTCACCTTTCTAAAAGACATGAAGAAATGTAAGTTTTTGAAAAAGATGCTCCAAATATGGAGTGTGTGCTGGCTTTATTAGTGAAACATGCACAGGAAGACTTAAAAAATGTAAAAGTATCACTTTCTGACATGAGATTATATTGTAATTTCATTGTCTCTTAAGAATAAGATTAAAAGGCACAATTATGTTCTATACATCTGTACTTACTTTTAAAAAACTAATATCAAAATTCACTCTTCCTAAGCTTCACAATAGAAATTTTCTGGTGGCAGAGGTTCTTGAGACAGGATCTCATGTAATGCAGACTGGTCATGAACTGACATATAAACAAAACTGATTTTGAACCCCTGATCGTTCTCTTCTCAGTGCTTGGAGTGAGGGTAATCACCACCGTGCTTGGATCTTTTTTTTTTTTAACTAAAATTTTTTTTAAACTTTATTATTTAAAAATTTGTGTGTGCCGGGCAGTGGTGGCGCACGCCTTTAATCCCAGCACTCAGGAGGCAGAGCCAGGTGGATCTCTGTGAGTTCGAGGCCAGCCTAGTCTACAGATGAGCTCCAGGACAGGAACCAAAACTGCACGGAGAAACCCTGTCTCGAAAAACCAAAAAAAGAAAAAAAAAAAAATGTGTGTGTGTGTGGGGGGGGTGTGTGTGTGTGTGAATATACAAGGAGTCCTGAAGAGGGTGAGAGGGTATTAGAACTCCCAGAGCTAAGAGTTGCAGGCAGTTGTTTGCTGCTTGATGTGGGTGCTGAGAACTAAACTCAAGTCCTCTAGAAAAGCAAGAGCCCATAACTTCTGAGCCATCTTTCCAGCTCCAGGCGTGGCTTTCGATAGACTTGAAATCTCTTGTTCATGGAGCATGACCTGTACACTCACAGGCTTAGCATTCGCTTTAATGTTCTAATGTCATTTAATCATTTTTCACTTGGTCCAGCATATTGTATAGCTTGCCGTGATCTTATAGTTAATATTAATCTTCTTCATCTATCTGTGAGCTCTCAGATTTTCCTGTTGTTTAACTAATTACCAAGGCCTGCCCTTTGGTGTTCTAATACACTATTCTAATAAAAACAAAAATAAAACAAATGTTCATCAACCTCAGCTTTTAGTTCTACATTCACGATATCCCAAGATAGCCCTATAAAACAGTGTTCTTTGAGAACCTTCATGACTTATTCTTACTTTTCTGTATACCACTTATGTATTTTTAAGCATTGTACATAATTTCTCATCATTTAGGGGACCCAAAAACTTATAAAATGAACAAGAAACTTTTCAAGTGCATTATATATAATGAAGTTGTTAAATAATTTACTCATAACTTTACATCTTTTTTCAAACGTTGGTTTACCTTGTGAGCACGCACGCATGCATGCATGCATGCATACATACTGCCTCTCACTCATATATCAAACCATCATCTTTCTCTTGGAAAAAGAGATAAAAAATATTTTTATTGCTTCTTCAAACATATGGAAGTTTAGCACAATTCTAAATGTGTAACATGAGATTCAGGGGTACTGAAGTGTTAAGCAGAAGGTTTCCTACAGCAAGTTATAGCAATGTATATGTGTGGGGAGGTATATATAACTATGTGTACAAGGAGAGATGTATTACAGTTTGCATTTTCACCAAAAATTACATATCTTCAACACTCTAAAGTAATTTCAAAAGACCACAGAGGCTAAAAAAGAGAGGCATGTACTTATGGCATATAGGAAGTATATGTTAATGAAAATAAAAATAATTTTATCCAGATTGACTTAAGGCATAGCAAACTATTCTTCTCATTGTCTCATTAGTTGATAAAATAGTTGGCTTTCAATAATGGGTCATAGTTGAGGTGAAATGCAATTAAGAAAGAAATGTTATATACTGGTCGAACAATAAAATGTTTGCTTTTCAATTTTTTCCTCTATATATAATCTTAACTTTTTTTCAGAGTATCACAAAGATTAATGTTACTTCAGAAAAGGAAGAATAATTTTGGAGATCAAAACACAGAAAGGGCATGTCTTCTCCAAGCCACTGAAACTGCTTCAAAAAGGAACCTCAGTCTCTTGCAGGTAATTTCCATGACTTGGGTATAGATGTTTTCCCCTTTCCTAAGGTATTTACATGCGTCTTACGATTTTGATTCACATTTCTTTGTTTTTAGTAACAAGCAGAATTAATGAGCCAATGTCTTTTTCAAGCCTGTGTTATTGGGCAAATAGCATATGGATTCTTGGTTTTTAAAAATGAAAAAAATTGAAGTTTACATAAGCTAAATATTTTCTGTCAACCAAAAAATCAATGACGACAGGAAGAATATTAAGGTCACCTTTGTGCAAGCAGCAGCAGAAAGTGTATCCTTACATTTTTCGTACTCTTCCATTTCAAGGAAGGACCCCGAAGACCTTAAGCTGTGATGTGTTTAGATCCAACTCAAATACTAAACAGCATGAAAACATGAACCATTGATTTTGCCCAGCTAATTCACAGGAAACACACAGAATTCACTGTGTGAGAGCTCACTTCAGAGATGCCTTTGGATAGTTATGGAGAAGGTGGTCAAAGTGTATGATTGCGCAGGGCCTCACCATTTGGCCAATGTGCCCATTTGGAATAAAATCATATGTGTAACATTTTTGGCTGCTTGCTATACTGTGCTTCCAGAATTGTGTGGCTTCATCCATAATTAAAACCCTAGAGTTTGCTTCCATTCAAGCTTCCAAGAGATCCTATGACTAAAACATTTGGTAGTAAGACTATATTATTTAAGTTATAAAGCAGTGTTTTCAGTTTTTTATTGTTAAATATTTTCATCGATAGGCATGATACAGCTATCTTCTATCCTCACTACAGGATAAAGGGAGAGGAAAATTCAGTTATCTTCTCAGCTTCTGGCAGTTTGATCCACAGTAATTTAAGTCACAGCCATAGTGCTACCAAAGCATTCTATATTGCCATATGTCTTACTTGCCCAATGGTGTTAACAATATTTATTTTTAAATGGAAATATATAGGGTATTCTGGAATTTGCTGTGAAAAGTTAGAGAAACTAAATTGGAAGACTTGATTGCTACTACCTGTAGCAAGTGATGTGGTACTTGGTTTTCAAGTATTTTTCTTTTAATAAGCAAGCATCTGATGAATGCCTAGAGCTAAAGTAGAGATAACAAACTAAGAATAAATCAAGGTTTTTGCTTCAGGGAGGCTACAGATTAGATAATGTAAGAAGTCTATGAGTTCCTCATTGCAAATGACCGATACTTTATGTGATCAAATACTAAATTACGTGGAATAGAATGGAGACTGTGAAGATTAAGAGTAAAAATGTTCTTGAGATCTTACTTAATATAGAGATTTCCCCCACCTTTCCAAAAATATTTTGCATGAATTTATAATTTGGTATAATTTCTATGTTCTGAATATTAGACATAATTAATGGGACAGAACTAATGCAGAAATATTCATAGAGACTTCTGAGATGAAGTGTTTAATCATCATCAGGGTTTAAATAGTCAAGACATTCCACTGGATTCTTAAATAAAAAGAGTCAAGAGTAAGAATTGAATGACCCTATTGATGTTAGTGGGATTATGATATAACAAGCTTGAAAATTCACAGGACACAAAGTTGGGTATGTTCAGATGCTGTAATGGTTTGAATAAACAGTGCCCCCTAGAGGTCTCCAGTTTGTGGTGCTGTTTGGGGAGATTATGGACCGTTTAGGAGCTGTAGCATTGCTGGAGGAAGTATGTTACTGGGGGTGGACTTTTTGGTTTATAGCCTCACTTCAGTTTGCACTCTGCTTCCTGTGTGCAATTGATCTGTGATCTCTAAGTTCCCTGCTACAGTCACTTGCTGCCATGCCTTCCCTCCATGGTGGACTCTTACTCTCTGGAACCATAAGCCAAAATAAACTCTTTATTACGTTGCTTTTGTCATGGTATTTCATCTTAGCGACAGAAAAAGTAATTGATACAAGAACCAAAGAACATAAGGCATAATATATAATGGTAATGTCTTACTAGAAATGTCTAAGTTCAAGAAGACTACAGACTTACATAAGAAATAAACAGGAGCTGGCAAGATGACTCTGCATGTAAAGGCATTTGCCACCAAGCCTGATGACCTAAATTGGATTCCCAGGACCCACATGATAGAAGAGAACTGGTTAATACAAGTTGTCCTCTGACCTCCATATGTGTGCTGTGGTATGCACACACCCACACATATTCACACGCATGCATATGAGCACACACAGACATACAAATATTTAAGAAAGATTGATTTTCTACTTAGATGATTCAAGAATAGGGAAATAGGATGGAGAGAAAGCTCAGTGGTTAGGAGCACAGGCTGTTCTTCTAGAGGACCAGGTTCAATGCTCAGTACCCACATGGTGGCTCACAACCACCCCTAACTCCAGTTTCAGGGTATCTGACACCTCTTCTGACCCCAGTGAGTTCTTGAACACTCAGTCACACACATATACATCTAAAACTAATTTTTTCAGTGAATAGAGAAACTATTCTTGACTTTACTAGAGATAAGGAGAGAAGCTAAAATATAGTCATCAACCCAGTTTCCTTATATTTTTTATATTTTATATAAAACTCAGTTTTATATAAAGTTCAGTTTACATTTTATATATATTTATATAAAGTTCATATTTCTATCTTATAAAGTTCTATAGATTGGGTATATTAAGTACATTCTAAGTTGATTTTCAGATTGCGAGTCCATGGGTCTAATCCATCACAAGTTCAGGAACATCAGTGGATAAGGAAGGAAGGAAGTAGAAGTACACTGGCCCTCATGACCTAAAGATATGAGTTAGTATGCTGGGCTTTCCCTGACCGTCCGAGTGAACAGAAATGAAAAGGACAGAATGCCTGTCTTCAGAGTGCCCTACTCATTTATTGAGCAGTTGCTGTAGCACAGGCTTGGTGACTGCTGCTAGACATGATTTTGGTCCTGCCTTTGTTTTATACATTTAATTACATATGCATTTTTAAATCCTGTGTTGCTTTCATTTTTTAAAATTCCAAAGCAGTATTAATGTTATTAATATAGAAATCATTGTATAAAAGTAAGATAAATAGAATTTGATTACTGTAAAATATTGTGTTGAGAGATATTTTCTGGGGAGATGGGGTGCTAGAGAATAAACCCAAGCCATCATGGATGTTAAACACACACTATCAGAGAACTGCTTCCCATTTTCCAAGAGAGCTATTGTGTGTATAGGGGATGAGGTCTGGGAGAGTGGGGTTTATTAAACCCAGGATTTTTTACACATGCTAAGCAAGCATTCCACTGCTGAACTATATCTCCAGCCCTTATTTTACTTTTTATTTATATATGGGGGGGGGCATTCTTACAAAGATCAGAGGACAATTTGTGGGAGATTTTTCTCTGTCTACTGTGGGTTCTAGAGACTGACTCAGGCTGTCTGGCCCAGCCACAAGTGCTTTTTCCCACTGAGCCATCCACTGGCCTCCTTTTCATTTTGAAATAAGAGTCTGAGTTTCCTAGACTGCTCTTAAACTTACTCTGTTGCCTAGATAGGCGCAATAAGTGTGCAAAAAGTAATCCTCTTGCCTCAGTCTCTTGTGTAGCTGGGATTACAGACTATACCACTAGGCCCAGTTTATGGGAAAGACATTAAATGGCACGTATATTACATTAGATTCTTATTGAAAGGTTAAACATTCTTTTTAACATTAAATGTTTTTTAAAGGTTTAAAAAATAGACATGAACTCGACCTGCCCCCCCCCCCCTGCTTCCATTCAACTTTTCCATTATGCCCAAGCACTGCTCTAGAACTATAAAAACCACCAGTCTGGCCTAATTATTTAAAGAATAGTAAACCATAGTGTAACTGCCTTTGATATTTTGTCAAGAATAGGGTAGGTTACCTCTAGGGCAGGCACATTTGAGGTACCCACAGCTTACAGATGGTTCCTTTAAAATGTGTGTGGTAACAACGATACTAACACAAGCATGACCTCTCTTACTACCAATTATGTGACGTTCCTTAGGTCTTCTGACTGGTGTAACGAACATTAACCAGGAATCAGCCTCTTTTGAAAAGGATGATTGACCAGCATTTTATATTGTATGGGTGTAACCTTGAAAACACCGAATATTATAAATTGAACAAAACTAGTATATTAAAGATTTAAGAGTCAACAACATTCTTATATCTAGCTAGAAAATGCATAAAATCAGATTTATATTTGCAACAAAATTCTAAGCTACTTGGGCACTCTTTCCTGCTATTCATGATAGTATAAAGAGATTTATTACACTAAAATATAAGAGGAGACAATAACCTCATTCTTGCTGGAGAAGCTCATTATTTACCTACAGTCACTCATTACTAAGTTATTTATACATATATTTTGATCCCAACAAAATTTGCAGTGAATGTGATAACATTTCTGTAAAGTCATCTGGGGGAAAATAAACTAGTACAAGTAATCAATGTGAAAGCAAGTGAGACCAGCCAGAGGGAAGGAAGGGAACACAGGGAAGAGATGAATAAAGACAAAATATAGTGACATGTACGTGGGGAAATGCCCTAACAAAGTCCATTATTTTGTATGCTAACTTTAAAATTATTTTTTAAAAGCTGTATCAAACGCCAGAGAATTTTTTTAAAGGAAGCATAAGGAAACAACTAATCCATCAAATATTTGACAGCTTAATCAATGAACTACATGTGATGGAAGACAGTCCTGAGTCCAGTATCCGTCAACAAATGTCACTAAGACTTAGGAGACACAGGCTGAGTGACTTTCCTGACTAGTATTAAGTAGAATATCAGCCTTTAAAAACAAGCATGATTGGTGTGCATTTGGAGGAGAGGGAGGATTTTGTTAGTGTAAATCCTTCTGTATTATAAAATACACACCCTCCACACCTCCCACAAAACTCAGCCTTCCACAGAAAAACCATGCTGTGGTTATAGAAGTTCAAGCCCCAAGGACAACATAGGATAGGGAAGCATTACAATCAGGAATAGAGTGAGTGCCTCTACTGAGGGCAGCCTAGAAGCCATCACGGAGCAGG